CTATTCTATTCTATTCTATTCTATTCTATTCTATTCTATTCTATTCTTTAAAGAAGAATAGGCAAGGCATTCATGTCTTTGAACTTCAATGTTGGAAAAGACGCCTGAGAATATAATGAAGATGTAAGAAAAAAAACCCCCAATGGATCATCAAACAAATCAACCCAGAGTTCTCATTTGAGGCACTAATGACCAGATTTAAATTATCCTACTTTGGACACCTTATGCAAAGATCTAATTCTCCAGGAAAGGTTTTAACGCTAGGAAAGAGAAGGAGAGGATGACCAGCAGCAAAATGGATGGACTCTGCTACTGTGGTGCTGAATGCAGCATTAGTAAAAACTGATGGGACAGGCTGGAGAATAGATCATCATGGAGAAAACTTAAGCTCTGAGTCAAAAATAACTGGATTGCACATAATCAATCAATAAGGGTGGCCCTCAGATGTGGCTGAACTTTTCACCAGGTCGTGCTAGTAGCCATTGCGGAGATTTGTACTCTACTGACATCTTCCCAACCTTAAAAAAAAAAAAAAAGCTTTCCTATTGCACCTGGGGAAAAGCATAGAACAATATGCATCAAAAAATATTGATTCATGCTTTTTACATATTTATTCACATTTAATATTGTTTTTATTGTATCCCGTTGTTGCACTGGATTGCAAATTTCTGCTATGCCGATTACATTTCTGCTACAAAACTCTTGTATGCTTGTTCTACTCTTGAACCGCCTGTCCAAATTCTACCCACATATGCTGGTGAATGAGGTAATAATCCATAAAAACCATCACTTACAGCCTGGTCATTTGCTTCTCTCCCCACTGCCTTATCTGGTTTTTTTAAAAGAGAGATAAATTCCATGGAGAAAAGTTCTATGAATGGCTAGTTTTCATCCATGGCAACTATAGGAAGCTACCTGATCAACACAGGTAATACATAACTGAGTAACAGCTGGTTCCTCTGCAGAAACAGTAGTATGCTGTTCCTTAGTATTCTTAGTATTCTGATTGCAGCTGATATGGAGTTATGTGGACTTCTGGTTTAATCCACTGTTTGCTTACCAAAATTTTGAATATTTAATGCTTCTGGTGGTGTTTGCTCAGGTTGATAAGGGCTATTTTCTTGCTTGGTAAAAAAAAACATGGACATCTAGTCTATTTTGGGTCAGCCTTTATCAGAAAGTTGAACTGCTAGGTTGTAGGTCAGCAGGTTTTCATCCTATTGGCTCTAATATGTCCTTCACCTACCTTGGAATCTCCGTTTTTACCTTCCTAGCTTATGGCTGTAAATAAAAAACACAGTCATATGGTACATGTGTGTCTGAGATGGATAAAATGGCCCGGGAATGACCTTCTGAACCTTGGCTAACCTTAAAGACATACGTTCGGTCAACATTTCTACCTCAACTGCAGTTGTGGCCTTCACTAAGCACTTCAATGTTAGTGTGGAGGCAATTTAGCTGGGTCAATAGTTAAAAAAAACAACAGTTTTTCGCCATACATCATTCCGTCCATGCAAATAAAACACAATCTGTTGAACTATTGAGTGTTTCAAGTGTGCTGAGCAGATATGATTTTCCTTCTTCCACAGGAGGAGAAACTTTCAGCATACTCAAAGTAACTGTTGAGGCCACCTACTAACTACGTTTCTGCAATTGTTTTTAGTTTTAGGAACATTTGGGATTTTTTACACAGGGTGAAATGTTTTGGAAAAAAAAATCCAGTCTTCTCTTTCTTGGATCAACACTGTAATCCACAGGAAAGTTTGCCCCTGCCTTTTAAGTGTAGTTACATCATCACACTAAAAAAAAGGATGTTATAGAACTGAAAAAAGTATAGAAAAGAGCAGCCAGTATTTTCAAGGAACTGGAATAAAGTTCCTACAATAGTCAAGATTAGCTAACTTAGTAGAAAGAGGAGGAAGTAAAGCCATGATATCAAGAAAGTTTTTCTGCTTTTGCCTGAGTTTTGGGATTTAATGATATTAACATGATATTAACATGATTATTTCATTTTATCACACAGATAAAAACACCATTAACACAGGTAAACTCTGTCAATGCAAGATGCAGTAAGACCAGAGGTGGTATTCAGCAGGTTCTGACCAGTTCTGGAGAACCGGTAGCAGAAATTTTGAGAAGTTCAGAGAACTGGCAAATACCACCTCTGACTGGATTTTACAATATCCTTCCCCTGCCACGCCCACCAAACCACACCCACAGAACCGGCAGTAAAAAAATTTGAATCCCACCACTGAGTAAGACTCCCCCAACTTGAACAGTGTTAAAAGAATTTAAATATATTCATGGAAAGGGCAGTTCTCTTCTAGTGAAGTCAGGAACATATTCCAAGATAAAAGCATATAAGCATCTTCACACCAACTGTTGTGGAAACAGAAGTGGGAGGATACATACATGTCCATGTTATGGGCTACCATGGATATCTACAAAGGTGGTAAAAGGAGGCTTGTGACATCACACATCATGACATAATCATGACTTTTATGGAATGCTCTCTAAGGTTGACTTCTGAGAGCAGAAAACTGAATTCACCAGACTTTGATCTGATCTTTCATACTTAAAGTATTAAATAGTAACTTTAAAAAAATGAATTCCCTTCCTGGTATTACTTTGAAATGTAGCCTGTGCTTTCTACACTTGGGACACCAAAATCTTGACCATCGGCTTCCTCCAACCAAGCCTTTGGTATGACTTATTGGAGCCATTCCAAATGTTGACACCAAGTGGTGATTTTTAATGCCAGAAAGGAGAAATTAATAAATATATGGAAGATACTGATAACTATTCAATTGGAAAAAAACAAATTCTGTTTTTGCTTTGGGTCTGACCATCTTTCCATCCTGGCCCCATCTATTATGAGGAGAATGGTGATGAGATTGAGATGACTGGAACCAGACTGGCTTGGTTCTACAATGAGATTATGCAGAAATATACTGTGAAACCTTTTGTGTATTGCAGACTTTCACTAATAGGTAATGAGGCTACCGGACAGGCAAGAATTCTCTCTGAGTTACAGTGCATCAGGGAAAGCCTCATTCTCAAACATCCTGAATTGTTCTAGAAACACTCGTTCTAAGCAGAACAAAATGCTGACGGGTGGCATGCAGTTAATTTTAAAGTTTGGAGAGTTTTTGATCTCACAAACTCTTTTTATAATATATGGTCAAGAGTTACGTAACTTGTGGGTCATCACTTGAGTATTTCCCACCACAGTTATACAGGTAGATACATAAACAGAAGCACAAATACTATATGCAGCTACATTCATGAAGACATAAGTGGTATGTAAAGACTACTATCTCTAATGCTTTCTATTGGTAGAATGCTTTCTTTATTGCCCATATAATTCCCTTCTTGTAATTGCAGGATCTATTTCCCTTTAATCTTGGAGTTGCCAGTTTAGAGAAATATTATATAGATGGATTTCCTGGTCTAATTATTATAGTCCTAGGGTAAATAGCAATAGGCAGGGGTGTTCACAGGGCTGATCAACAAAAGTCATGATGGTATCCGTAATGATGTGATCAAAACTCTGCCTGTTTTATACATGTTTTGGAACTTAGATTGCACAGTTGGATTGCTAATTTTGACTTTTTTTTAACCATTCCCCGCAGAAGTTCCTACTAGTAGTAACAGTAGAAGCAGCACTAGCAGCAGAGGTAGTATTCAGCAGATTCTGAGCAGTTCTGGAGAACTGGTAGCGGAAATTTTGAGTAGTTTGGAGAACCAGCAAATAGCACCTCTGACTGGCCCCACCCCATCTATTCTCTGCCTCCCGAGTCCCAGCAGTTCGGCTGGGTCTTCTTTTGTTGCCCTGCACAGGAGAACGGAGCTGGAAAGCAGGTTAGTGGTATAAGGAGGGAATGGGGATTTGGCACTAACCTTCCCCTGCCACACCCACCAAGCCACACCTACCAAGCCACGCCCACAGAACCAGTAGTAAAAAATTTGAATCCCACCACTGACTAGCAGCAGTCTGCCCCATAAAAGGAAGATGGAGCAATGCTTCAATTATTTCTTTTTACAGTAAGCCTTCTTTTCTGTGATGGCTTACTGATGGTTTTCGGAACCAGTTTAATCTTTTTGGGAAACATTTCCCTCTGGGTCAGGAGTTCCCAAACGTTGTGCTATCACACTTCTCTTTTACATGTAATGCACACACTTCCCCTAAAAATCCAAACACCACAATGAACATAAAAGAACAGTTGCCCTGTTTGCAATGACTGCAAGGAAGATACAAATCAAATGGCAGTGTTAATATTAGAGGGGATTATTGAATCGATACGATTGCTGTAATTTTATCTGTATTTTGATAAAACCCATGGTTGCAAGTAACCATTTAAATACAAACATAAAAAAACCATAACAGTGAAATTTTGGGAAAGGTTGATTTCTTGTGAAAATGTGACTCAAAAGTTTCTTCACATCATTCCTGGACTCTGCCTGGACTCCACGGAGCTACACTTCATAGTTGGGGAAGCCTCAGAGATGCAGAAGATGGAACTGAATTAGCTGCCTAAAGTGCTTTTGTGAAAGCCTGTGGATTTTTTTTTACGTTTGTTGTCTTGCGTGAAGCTCTTGCTTTTAATGCCAGCTATGGTTCTGGTTCTGCCAAAATGTATTAATGGTGGACCCAGGTAATTGCCAGGACTATTAAACTATTTCAAAAGCACCTTAATTTCTGACACCTTAATGACACCTTAATAGAATAGAATAGAATTCTTTATTGGCCAAGTGTGATTGGACACCCAAGGAATTTGTCTCCGGTGCATAAGCTCTCAGTGTACATGCAAGCAACAAGTGATAAATCATGATCACAGTCATCATAAAAAATACATTCATCACGAGCATAAGATACAAAACTTAGTGATAGCAACAGGATGCTAAATAAGCAATCAACATAAAACATACTAGGATACTAAATAAAACAATATAAATCATAAGATACAAACAACAAAGTTATAGTCATAAGACAAGTAGATAGGTAATAGGAAAGATGAGAAGAATAATAGTAATACAGTCTTAATAAATAGTTTGACAGTGTTGTGGGAATTTGTTGTTTAACAGGGTGATGGCATGTGGGCAAAAAACTGTCCTTGTGTCTAGTTATTCTGGTGTGCAGTGACCTATAGGGTCATCTTGAGGGTAGAAGTTGAAACAGTTTATGTCCAGGATGTGAGGGGTCTATAAAAAACATAAGCATTAATATCTCTACCATCCCATACTTCCTGAATTTAGCCAACTTAAGAAAGTGTATTGAAGTAAGAGCACATTTGAAGGTATATCAACGTTTTTCAACTGAATGGATCGGTTTCATGCATCTGATGATGATGTGTGCCAGGCCAGAACTTCATGTATCTTTAAGATGATGCAGATCTCTTTGTAGTTTTTTTTTTTACTATGATGGTCTAATGCAGCTATCTCTTTAAAATGTATCTGCTAATTACATTATGTATGAATTGCAATTATTCCATGCTAGCCCACTCACATATCTTTGCATATAGATATACTTTTAACAATTGCTGCCTCAATACAGCAATAACAATAACAGTTCAATAGGTGTAATAATTCCTGGCTGAAAATCTCTTAAGATCAAAGTGCTTTACAAGGATGGGTTATATTTTCTGCAAAACTTCAAAGCTAGGTGGAGGAAGCATCTAGGAAATGGGGGATGGATGGGCAATTTTGGCAGTCAGCCTAGTTCAAGTTATCTTCCCCTTCCTATTTATATATGTGAGCATTATATAGATCACCCATAAAAGTATCTTTCTGTTTACCTGCAGAAGTTATCAACGTTACAGATGGAAAATCAGGAAGACAAATGGCAGCAAACTCAGAAAAAGCCATTTTCAGGACCAGGGCGCCCAAAGTGTTTAATAAATCAACATGAAAAACGATAACATGAAAAGTTGCATGAATTATGCAGTCTTCATCATGGTAGGGAAATGAATGCAACTTCATGGATGGGTTTGAGATGAAATATTTAACTGTTTCCATATGGAAACAGATGGATATAATGATCAGTGTTTTAATTACTTTGAACCTATTTTATTTCCAAAAGTAGCTGGCAGCAAAATAAAATTTAAAAAGTCTGCATCGGACACTTCAAGGCTCCATTCAAAAGCTATCTGTCACTACAGAGGAGATTAATATTGGTAAGAAAGAACACAGACTTGTAATTCCCAATGAACTCAGCACAACCTTGTTTATCTGAATGGCCTAGAAATTTCTGAAAGTTTCCGGAAAATCCAACCTTGCTCAAGGACATTGGAGTTTTACAATGAGTTTAAAACATGAAAGGGGCGATAACCAAGACTGTAGAAGATAAGAAGTATCTTGATTGAACAGACCAGATGTCTAATCATTCATATGTTCCTGGGAAAGTGAATAACCTTGATATTCTTTTTGGCGTTATGGAATAGAAGTTCTTTGAAAGTGCTCAGATTAGTAGTGTTTAATGTTTCTGCTAATCAAAATTTTAACTTGTCCATGGGATTTGGCTCATGAAGACTAGCAGTTTTCCCATGAGTGTCTACTTTGTTGTTTTCATAAGATTGCATATGTACAGACGACCCAAGAACCCACAGTTAAAACTTAGTCTAAGCCAAAGGATTTTCATTAGACATTGGCAAATAAACTATCTATTCTCAGAGCGAGCCAAGCTACAAATTCACCAACCACATGTTTAGCACAGTGTGCAAGGGTATCTTTTTAGAACAAACATAGGAAAAGACTTTTTTAATGATAGTTTTTATTCAACGTTAGATGAAAAGAAAAAAATTAACAGAAAGTAATAATTAAGATGTGAAAAAAGAGAAAAAGAGACAACAAAGCCAAGTATAAAGGAAAAAAAATAGAAATGATTTCTGATTTTACAAGTATACAAGTAGTTATAAATATAAATTTAAATTGACTTCTTAGTGTAAGGTTACAACACAACTTTCATTTTTTTAAATTATTTTTTCTAATTCTCAAACTCATGCATAATGGTTTCAGTTTTTTTGGTTTTATGCGAGAAGTTCAACAGAGGTTTCCAACTGGCATTCAACAAAGGAAAAGTCTGATAATACAACTTTAAGGTCTGAAGATAGTAGCATTGTTTCCATCTAGAAATTCACCTCAGTACAAATTGGCTTACTCCTAACATTATTACCACAAAGAATGAGAAGACGGCTTTTACAGTTTGTTACAATCTTCTTTCAATCTGGCATCTACCAAAGCTTTGGATTTTAACTCTCACAATTCTCAAACACCATCAATGAATGGAATTTGGATGGTGCTAAGTAAAGAAGCTTTTTAAAAAATATCCTTTCCAAAGTATATTAAAAACTGGAGTCATACCGACTTTATTCACACATAACACAAAGCTATGATATAGTTCTAGTTTATTTATTTAAACAACTTGCATGGTTGCCTACCTCATATAATGATCCTAGGCAGCTCAAACCAACTGTAAAAATAAGAATAATAACAAAACCACCCCTCCTACTTGGCACCAAACCAACCACGCTATTAGCTTCCTGACTCAACCCCCATCCTAGCCCAGCACTTGGGGGGAGAGCCAAATCTTCATGGCCTTCTGGAAGGTTAAAAGATAGAGACTTTCGAATCTCATGTGGGAGGTGACTACAAAGGGCTGAGTTGGCTACAGATAAGGCATGCCTCCAAGGTCCCATCTGAAGACAGCACTTAAGGGAGGGGACCTGGAATGTTCCCAATTTATCTGACCGTAATACGGTTGCTTGCGTAGATACTCTTGGAAAGAGACACTATGATATTACTTGTTTAGTTTTAACGGATTTGGTATTTGACGTCCCCCTGATATTTATGAACTCTACTATATGACTTGGTGTGTATCAGATTGCTAAATTCTATCCAACAAACTGTAGTTTATGGATAATAGGCGGTATGAACTTTGTGTCTTTCAAAGGCTTGTTTGTCTCTTGTCTGAAATGTTTAAAAAATACTTGTTTTCTTTTTTAAAGCTCTGAATCTGTATCTTTCTGAACCAATTTGGAGGAAACTGATTTGATTCAGTGATTCCAACCACTTCAAAAATCACCTCTGAGTTTTGTTTTCTTCTACCTGATTTGTGGAGACAGCCTGGAGAAGCCACTGCAATTTTCTTGGCAAGGTTTTTCAGCAGTGGTTTGCACTGCCTCCGTCCCAGGGCTGAGAGAGAGTGACTGGCCCAAGGTCACCCAGCTGGCTTTGTGCTTCAAGGCAGAACTAGAACTTATGGTTTCCCAGTTTCCAGCCTGATTCCGACTTAATCTCCACACCAAACTAGTTCTAACTTAGAATTAGAAGGAGAACTTCAGCCAATTCAATATATTGTTTGATGATATGCATGCATGCTGTTTTTGTCTCATTCACATATTACATCTGTAAAATGTACACTTTAAAATATGTTGTACAATGCTTGCTCATTTTCAGGTAAGTGTGCAGAAGATTTCAGAATGAATGATGTAACTACTTCTTCTTTTTTTTTTTAAAAAAAAAGGGTTCATAAAATTAAATGACCATATCTATACATTTTCTGAAGCCACCATTAGAATCCTCTTATTCTGTGCTTTAATTTCTTTTTTTTTAAAATGATTTTCTCTTCCATGCATTTAACCAAAAAAGGAAGCCCCCCCCCAAAATTGGCTAAAGACTCCAAGAAAACAAATGCAAACTCCTACACATGTCCCTGGAAACTTTGGTGGTCTGTAGGTCATTCATCTTTTCACCTTTTCTGAACCTGAAAATAATCCTTGACATGAAAGCTAATAAGAAACACTCTGCACAAAACCCAGCATTACCTAGGTCACAAGGAAGGAGTCTGGGGTTAAGGAAGGAATACATCCTAAACGTCAAGAAAGAAGTAGAATTCCGAAGGCATTTTTTTCTTCTTCTGTTGCCTGGCCATTTCTCTGCAGTCGGGCTCACATGGTTGTGATTTACAGTATGGGCTCAACTGTTGACACCTTTATGTCCCTCCCCCCTATCCCAGCAGGCCCCACAGACACAGCCATGATCGATGCTGGTGAACTTTTCCTCTGATTACCTTCTGGAGAACTTTCCCATCATCTATTGTTTTCCACCAGAGTGGAGTACAAAACCAGTTCTTTGCCTTCCACCCTGTACTTTCGCTCAACTAGCTGTTTTGCTCCATCTTTGAAGCTATGTGCAGAATTTATTACAGCCAAGTGAAAGAGGTTTTTAAGCTCTTCAAGGCTTTACCCCACTGCCTGAACTTAAAATGGTCCAAAGTAAATCAACATAATGGCTGCCCGCCTAACATTGTCCCGGGGAGGGCTTTTATACACGCTGTTGTCTAGTCATTCAGAACATTTAATGGAAAACATAAAAAGAGCAGGAGCTGGTTGACTTTGTCTTCCTTCAGTATACTGTATTAAAGTAAACAAAGAATGAACACCCTAGGCTTGATTAGGCAAAATGAATGGGAGGAGGCCATGGAAGCATTCCACTTATTTTGGGTAGATGATGAGAATATATTGCTGGTATATATGGTGCCACCATCTGAGATTTAGCTCAGAAATACCTTCGTTCACTGCATGTCTCATCAGTATGCAGCCTTGCTCTTGCTGTAGGACAAGGCAGGGAGGTTGTAGGAGAAACGGGGGGTGTGGGATCCGGAAGAAAGAAAGTTGCCAATATTTGTTGCTGTTTCTAATGCTGGGCCTTAAGCACAACTCTAGTTTAGAAATAGTGACTTGCCCAGCAGATACTGAGCAGGCAAAAGAAAAGAAAAAGGCAGAAAATGTTCCGAACTAAGCAGGTTCGTAAGCCTGCAAACCGGACTGGCCGTTCCTCAAGCAGGCTCGTAATCCTGCACTTTTGATTGGCCCGTTGACAGCGAGTCGCGATTGGTCATTTGGGACTGATCTGATTGGCTAGTTAACGGGCTGCCGCGATTGGACGCTCCAAGCGCGGCAAACTTAAACCATTGGACGCTTTGACAGCAGCCAGCTCTATAAAAGGAGCTGCTGTTGTTATTCCTTTTGCTCTGTTTTCCTGAAGTCACTAATAAAGAGTTGGAGTCACTATTCAATGTCTCGTCTCCGTTATCGTGCCTACCCCCCGAGATAGAACAGAAAAGGCATCCTGTGTTAACAGAATGCTAATATTCAGTAGGTCCTCCCATGAGGCTGAGCAAAGGAGCTGTTTCAGATATGATTTGGGTCATCAGTGAAGCATTCCTTGATGGCCAACCTCACACCTGAAACAGTTCCTTCACTTATTCAATTTGGGATTCTTGTTTTCGTCTCTTACTTGTTAGGGATTGGAGATCAGCGGTGGATTTCTTGCTTCACATCTCATGCAGATGGATGGATGGTCATTTGTCGTACTACTTCAGGCCACAAAATGTCTTCAGGCCACAATCATGATCTTTGTATAGATGAAAAGAGTGGGCAACTATAGGGGATGCTGCAGAGCCATCCAGGTTTTACACTTTGCTAACCATTTTCAATTTCCAAACATTAGGAGCACTCAAAAGTTGCAACATGCCTTGGGGTTTATAAAGATTTTGGGTTACTTTAATATAATTTAGATGTGCTTGGTAAGTAACTACATAAGTATAACTGCTTCATATTTTGTTTGTTTCATTTGAGTAATAATGATTCTACAGCTTGTGGGCAAATTTGCTTGCCTGACTGACTTTATAACTTTGTCACTTTACAGGTGGCTTGGGAAACCAAAAGATGAAGGTTAGCTAAGGGTGACTCTTGTAGAGAGATTCAACCTGGAAATAAGGAGAAACTTTCTGACAGTGAGAACAATCAACCAATGGAACAGCTTTGCCTTCGGAAGTTGTGGGAGCGCCATCACTTGAAATCTTCAAGAAGAGATTGGACTGCCATTTGTCAGAAATGGTGTAGGGTCTCCCGCTTGG